ATGTTGGCTCTAATTTGGACTGGTGAGTCCTCCGTGTTGGCTCTAATTTGGACTGGTGAGTCCTCCATGTTGGCTCTCTGTGGTTTATTTTCTTCCATCTGAACATTTTCTTGATGTTTCTGTTGTTAGCTCCGTTTTGGGGCCCGTCTTGTGTGTCGGTGTATTTTTATATTAAACAAGTTTTTATTTTATTTTATGTCATTATGACTAAAGAGCATCAGTTTGTTTTTAGCTTAGCTCAGTTCTGTTCATATTATTTTCACTGCATAATTTAACTTTAAATAAGTTAATCCTTACAGAGTCCTGGTGGAACACCTTGATCCGTCTTCACAAAAGAAAACTAATAAAATAATCTTACAGAATAAGTAACTGATCTTTTCAGGGCATGAATAGAAATAATAAATCATGGTTGACCTTCATGTTTGTGTGTTTGTGTTGTCGTCCAGGACTGGCAGCCTCCGTTTGCCTGCGACATCGACAAGCTTCACTTTGTTCCTCGGATCCAGAGGCTCAATGAACTGGAGGTCAGTTTTATTCATCACAATTATTCATCACATTGTGTATCTGTGCATCTTTTAAAACGTCTTTAATGCAATAACTGAGCCTTTTTTACCACAAATATAGATCAAAGGACAGAACTGATCATTTAGTGTAAAAACATTCATTTATAATTATTTAATGCATGAAACACAACGTGGCACACTTCATGTAAATGATTATTTTGGTGCCTTCCTTTGAAGGTTCTGATGTTTTTCTGTCAGTCATGTTGATTCTTGTTTATTTTCAGGCACAGACCAGAGTCAAGCTCAACTTTCTGGACCAGATTGCCAAGTTTTGGGATTTGCAGGGATGTACCCTGAAGATTCCTCACGTGGAGAGGAAGATCTTGGACTTGTATCAGCTAAATAAGGTTGATTATTGGTTACACTGGGCTTCTTTTGTATTTTGAAAGGTCCAGACCTTGTTGACATGTCTCTGTCCTCACAGCTGGTAGCAGACGAGGGAGGCTTTGACATCGTTTGTCAGGACCGGCGCTGGACCAAGATCGCTATTCAAATGGGCTTCAGCCCCGGCAAAGCTGTGGGCTCACATCTGCGAGGGCATTACGAGAAGATCCTGTACCCCTACAACCTGTTTCAGAGTGGAACCAACCTGCTGGTGAGTTACACACATGAAAGAAAACAACTTATTCCCACTGAAACACACGTTGATGAAAGATTTCTGTCGTTCTGCTCCGTGGTGAAGAACAACTCTCGGTATTGTTCAGAGCTCTTCACATTCAGCAGAAAGAATCCAAAGTTATAAATAATAGTGAAGTTAATTAATTAACCTGCAGGGATCGCTCCTAACTTCAGAAGTTTCATCGCTTTCAGCCAGTTTGTCACTTGGACTGTCCAGTTTGTGATGGACACTGCGAGCAGCAGTTATCAATCACCATGTTCATTATTTTACATTTATTCTGTGTCACTCTCCCACAAAACTCAGACCAGTGAAGAACTGGGGCAACAGTTGCTGTATGCTCAGCCTCCTGAAGCTGGTTCAGCTGCCTCGGCCTCTTCGTACACTCAGAGTGAGGACGGCCTGCTCTCAGTAGAAACTACGCGAGCAAATCTCGGTGTCATGATTCGATTCAAAATCGATTTTCGATTCAGAAACGATTTTTCTAATGAAATGGTCATAAATTTTGCTTCAATTCTGTAATTGACAAGATGAAAAGATTAAACAACAGTGTAAACAAATAGAACATTTATTTAAAGCAATAATTTTAGGTTCTTTACTGTATCAAATCTTATTAATTTATACGAAAATCAGGAACAAATATAGGCGTACATAAAATTATGTAACTTAAATTACCAGTACAGGTTAGCTTAGCTGCTTGGATTTTTCTAAAAATAAATAAATAAATTCGGAACAAATCACCCATCCATCCATCCATCCATCCATCCATCCATCCATCCTTCCATCCATCCATCATCTTTACCCTCTTCTTCTTTTTCGGGTCACTGGTGCCCATATCAGCCATCACTGTGTGAGAGGTGGGGACACCTGGACAGGTCTCCAGTCCATCACAGACAAATAATTCAAAATATATAAATATAAAAGTAAACAAAGACTTCAGCCTACCATAGTACATTAAACTTTAACTCAACATAAAATACAGACTTCAGTTTTTTTAGCCATATTGCTCTAACATTTGTTATATTTTCAAAACTTAACCTAATATGAAATACAGTCTTCACAGTCTTATTGATTCTTATTTGGTAAATCTTTAATAAAATTTCAAAACCTTTTCAAGTCTGCACAAAAACTCTTCTGAACTAATAATTTATAAACTAAACTATCTAATTGTATCATTTAGGTTGTCGCCCTTCAACCTTTTAAAAAGAAAAATTACATAAAGTTTGTTGTACAACTTGTCTATAAGTTTTAGTATAATATGAGAAAAAACTGTTACCTTTGAGCTGCAGCTGGTTCATTAAGATTATCGAGATTCTTTAATTAATCCATTTTTTTTCTGCACCCCTGGTAGACATACACATGTCCCATGTTCCTTCTAGTCCTTGCTGATGGATTTACCAGAACTCCTGATCTTTCCTCTGAGGTCAGTTAGGACAGTCATATTGGGGTCGATAGGTGAAAAACCACAAAGTAGGAATTTTATTATTTATTTAAGTATTTATTTATATTTTAATTCTTTATAAACCCTTCCCACACTCTTGCAATGTTCTAAACACTTAAACCTACATAATTTTAACAACATACGTATATATGTACTGTACAGTAGGAATGTGCGATATGACATAAAATTCATATCACGATATGTATTGTGAAGGGTGGCGATAACGATATATATCGCGATATGTTTTTGGTATAAAACTTAATAGGAATTTTAAAAAAGCATAGGGTGTCCTTTTGCCATCATATATTTTGATTTGAGAAAATTCCACTACTAGGTCCAGAGAGTTTTTAAATAATAAACAAATCAAGTATTAGGCTTCTTTCTTTAGTGCAAAACAGTGCAAAATATATCAAATGTAGTTTTAGCCATATGCTTTAAACAAAAGAATATGTTGTTAACTCATAACAGTTTCTACTCTTCTCACTTGAGAAATGAACAGCAACAGAGCAGCATTTTACACTGAAACACTTCACCCTCCAAACCTCTAGTGGGCGCCTCCTTCTGCTTTAAGGAGAGCTGACACAAAATGAGTCTGTGGCTTTGACCAGAGGGTCTCGCAGTAAAATCACACAGCACAGCGTTCTTTTCACAGATCAGAGAGCAGGTTTCTCTAAAAGCTGACCAACGCTTACTTTAACTTTAAACGGAAAAAAAAACCAACTTTCGACAGAACACAGCGTTTTGCGCATGCATCTGAATACGGCAACACTACGGCAAGCCGGCCGTAGTTAGCTTGTAGCTTTGCTACTTAGCTCTTGAAGAAATGACTTTACCACCACTTACGCACAGTTTTCAACTAAAAAAAGTAAAGATTAAACTGAAAACTCTGATTTTACATCAGACACAGCGTTACTGCGGTTAGCCGGTAGAAGACAGATCTATAACGTAGGCTAAATTTATATATTTTCTACCATGTACCGTATATATCATGCATTCCTACTGTACAGTACTGCAAAGTTTAATGTGGGTACTCAGCAGTGAAGTTACAACTTGAAGGATGAGTTCAGCTTCTGGATTATTTGCGACTTTCCTGCCAGTTCTATGAGTTTAATTGATCCATCGTTACTTCTGACTTTTGCGTTGCTAATCTGTTTTTACCCCTCGGTTTCTCTCCTAGTGTTTGTTCCCTCCATCACTGTTCTTTGAATTTCAGCAGAAAACAGCGGCTGGAAGCACTGTTGGCTTCTGGGCCGTGTAGTTCTTTTGACTTGCGTTACAGTGTAGGCTTATTGAAAGAAAAGTACAAAATGGTGGCACCTGTCCAAAGTATTTATTTATTTTTGTTTTGTTTTTATTTTTTGTCCCATTGATTGGTTCCCGTTCCCGTTAACTTTTTAACCCGTACCGTCCTGGTCACATAAATAATTTGACAGTCGTGTGTCGTGTACGATCTTACTATGAAAACCCGCAAAAGAGCGAGTCTGCGAAAGTCGAACTGCGACGTATGGAGGGACTACTGTAATTATTGAATTAGTGTTAATCTGTAGTTTGATTGACTTTTTGAACACTGACGGGGTTAACTGTTTTTACTGCTGAATGGTTTTCAAGTTCAAACTGATTATGTTGCTCGAAGCCCATTGTTTTTATTTAACTTTTAATGTCATTAGTTGATGATTTTATCCACCTCTGCAAATAAAAAAAATTAAAATGTTTGTTTATGATGAGTAGGTGAGATTTATTTTCTCCTGTTTGTTTTTGAACTGCTCCCATTTTACACATAAACCAGAATTTTCTCAAACGATCTATTTTAATCTGCATTAATACAAATGAAATGCTGATACAGCACTTTATATTATATATTTATACACTGTAATACCATCCAACCATCATCTGCCATCCATCCATCCATCATTCATCCATCCAACCATCATCCATCCATCCATCCATCATCTGTC